TAAATAGCTATAAAACTACTACATGGCTTAGATTAATTAGTTATAAACTACTACATGGCTCAGATTAAATGACTATAAAACTACTACATGGCTCAGATTAAGTTGATATAAAACTACTCATGGCTCAGATTAATTGCTATAAAACTACTCATGGCTCAGATTAATTGCTATAAACTACTCATGACTCAGATTAATTGCTATAAAACTACTCATGGCTCAGATTAATTGCTATAAACTACTCATGGCCTTAGAATTTTATTTATTGCTATTATTTAAGGAATGGTATTAGATATGAAAAATCCACTATATAGCATCATTATCATTAAATAATGAAGATAGAGATACGCTTATACATTTTATATTTTATTTTCACAATATATTATTTATACTTATGGCTCGTATGGCAAAGAGTTGAGTGAAAGAGAACCAGTCTCACTATATTTTATAAGATAATACTCAATTATCAACAGTTTAATTTTGCATAAATGTTTTAAACGTAAAAAGATCTATATTTTACAGTATTTACAGTATTTCAAGTCATCTAACATATTAGCTGTTTTACCAACAACGCTAGTCATTACTCATATCATTGCTCTAAATTGGTTCCATAACACGGATATCTCTAACAACAACTGATTGGTCAACTTTGTTTTTGTTTGTTACATCTCTATGTGTGAAATATTTTAGGACCTAAAACGAAATACTTTTAACACTAATTATTTACCCATTTTCTTGTTGTCGGGTAAATCTCTGTCACATTCCGTGTCTGAAGGTTCTAGACCGTCATGGATTATCGAGGACGAGATTAAATGTATGGGACTGTATATTGAACTACGAGCACAGTCACTTCTATAAACAGAAATCATCTCTTCTTTAAATTAAAAGTTATTTCAGTTAAAAACTGGAATGGTTAAAAATAGTTCATAAAGTTAAAAACAATGTTTCGCCTGCTGGTACCAGACGATATCAAGAAAGTACTGGAATTCGCCTTTATTTTTAAAAGTTTATTTATTTGGATCTCAGTGCTGAAACACAATACTATAAGAGTGAGTGAAGGATATCTGAGAATGTTATAAACAATTTTTTTTAATAGTAAACAAAAAATCTGCATAGGGAATCATTAGAAATTACCTGGTGCATATAAAAAAGTTGTATTAATGTTTGAAGTAGGTTTCGCTGTAATTAATTTTTATGAATATGTTAAAAAAATTTCTAGTTTAACTTAAAGTAAACTTTACGTAGACAGAGCTTAAACAATGAAGTTTCAGAAAAACACTAGGCTCACGTTAGTAAATGATATGTGTTATATTCATTATCAACGACAGCTGTCTCACCTTGTTCCATAATTTGGTGTTGACCATTTATTTTCTTTAAAAGAACTGATTGGATATATTGACGTTTCCAAGTTTTTAGGTCTGATGGACTTCTGTGGTTGTTCATAGCCTTCAAGGCGATCATTGACGATGTCTTTTATCAAATATGTGAAATAACATCAAATTATTTTAGTTTGTTAAAATATAAAATGACTATTAATCATCATCGTGATTATTAATGAGTATAATAAATAAATAAGACAAAAATATCGCATTGTAAGATACTTCAAACAGATGTCATTGTTTATTTTTATGCAATGATGCAATGCTTTACATATCGTTTTTAATATCAATCACTGAAATGTTTGAAGTCGCAAGTACTTTAGTTTCATTAATATCAGCTTGTGTAAAATACTTATAAGAACTAAATAGCAGGACCTAAAACCTTTACGTAAAGCACCGAGCCATATCTGAACGGTTCTACACGTTTCGGTGAGTCACAGACCCACCATCAGGTAGAAGACAGCAGTAGAAACACTGTTATGATGTTTATATGGATTTTCATCTACTTGCGTAGTGAAAAACTTCTCGAACCAACAGTTAACACAAAAGATGCTGAAACCTAATTATAAAAAATAGATCAGAAATAAATTTCTGCAACCACTAAACCAGAATCGCTATTTAAATTTACTTTAGAGTTACTAAATGTTTATAATAATTATCTAATTTTTAGTCAGTATTTATTATTAATTATCTGATAAATTAAAAAATTCCACACTCTACTAAACGTACGATAGAACGAACATTTATCCGCAGTATGTTCAGGCTCTATACATAGGTAAATTTTAAGAAATACATTAATTGGCAAATAATTTTTTTGCTATGTGTTATATAGTCATTTCAGTACTATTATTAAAGGTAAAACCACATTAATAGATGAATGGTTTTTTTTATAAAATCTCTTGTAACTGTAGTCTAATATATATTGGTCAAACATGTAAAAAATTAGACTATATGGAAATCAATCAGGTTTTTTTTTACCCTGTACAGTAAGTTATTTGCATTTTATTGTAATTATTAAGACTGGAAACAGTCTCACTTTTAGTGTATAAAATAATCGTTGTTTTATAAAAAAACATTGAACGATACACAAGAGCCAATGAATTTTAATCGGAAAGATGTTTCACTGCTGTCTCTATCCTGAAGGTGATGGGTTTGTGACCCACCGAAGCATGTAGAAACATTTAGATAAGACCTGGTACTTTCACAAAAGGTTTTATGTTGTGTAAATGTAAATGTTAGGCCATGTAGTTTTCATTATTTTACTTTCATTGGAATCAGAAACACTAAATACAGATTTCAGAAAATAGGAATCTGTGCGAATTACTTTACGTATTTAGGACTTGATTAAAAATGAATACTTTTCACTTATGTATCTAAAATTCATATATTGCGTTTATTTTGTCCTCTAGTGAGTTAGCGGTAAGTTTGCGGGTTTATATTGTTAAAATACGGGGTTCTATTCCCCATGGTGGATAGAACGCAGATAGTCTATTATGTAACTTTGTGCTAAAACAAACAAAGAAATCTTTTATTTGCAGCCACACCAGCTACTAAATGTGACTACCATCGCTAGTTTATTATGCTGTTTATTCAACTAACTCTACACTGGCTATTTGCTATTATAAAAACAAGTAAGTAATTGTCCATAATGGAAAGTCCGGGCATAGCTTAGTGGTTAGTGTGTCGGGCTATGAATGCGAGAGTTTAGGGTTTTGATCCTGTTGCCGAAATAAAAAATCGCATTTGGAGGCTGTGCGTTATAACGGAGAAGGTCAAATCCCACTATTCACTTAGAGAAGCCCAAGAGTTGGCGACGAGTGTTGTTGACTAGCTTCTTTCCATTTAACAGTTCAAATTAGGGACGGCTATGCACATATAGCTCTTGTGTAGCTTGCGGCGAATATACTAAAATAAACAACAACTAAAATTTACAATAAAAGATTTGGTTAATGGGTATTATAAAGATTTATTAATGCCTTATATTCTACTAAATCGTATTTTTTCAAAACCGTTCATATTTTTATTCTAAGTTATTGTTTTTACCTTTGTTACCACAAGTAATAAATTGTCAGCTTTTATGTTCAGGATTTTATGTTAATATGAACATTTTAATGGGAAAGTGTTTTGTTTCTAATTTCGCATAATGAGTTGTTCTGAAGCTATAATTATTATGTATAAAAATACAAGATAAAAATTAGTCTTAAAAAATAATAATAAAACTTTGACAAATGCCACAAATACAAGCCAACACCATTCTTTGGTTATTTGTAATATTTCACAACATCAACAACCTTAGACACAAAACAAAGATATACTATTAGGATAATTAAAATAGCAAATTAAAATTAGACTTTATATACACAGCTATATATAGTCATAATTCTAGTGACTCAGCAGTAAGCTCGAGTGCTCTTAACATAAAAATTCAGAATGAGCACTGCGCAAAAAGTCCATTGAATATTTTTTCGCTTTAAAAAGCAAATTATACAGTTCTAAGCGATGTTAGTCAGATTCTACTTTTAGGAACTATTTATCATTGGAGCCATGCCCAAAATAATGACCTGTATTTGCATAAGAGATCTTTAATCCTCCAATTATTGCACCATATTGAGTAATTTTATGTTTTTGCCTGTTACAACACTCAGTGTAAATAACTGACAAAAAAAAGTGAAAACGTTAATTTTTTATGTAAGCATATAGCAGTAATTTGTGGCATTAATTACGATGGTAGTATTTTCGTTTATATATTTGATATTTTTTTATGTGTGACTCTTATATTATTAGGGATCTGTAACCACCAAATTCATGGGCCCCTAAGTAATTGGGTGCATAAATAGTTTAGAAAAGAGTTTTGAAAAGGCCCATGGGATTAATTATTAAACTATCAGACAAAATTGAAAATTATAAGCACAGTTAAAGTTCGGTTCCTGGCCCATCTGTTATAGCTTTGGGTCAGGCTCTTCTCGATGATTGTTTGCCTGTTTTAGAGTTTTCGCGCAAAGCCACACAATGGTTAACTGCGCATAGTGTCCCAATTTTTCTGATAGTCTAGAGAAAAGGCAGCTAGTCAACAGAGTCCACCGCCAGCTCTTAGGCTACTCAAATCAAATATGGAATTTGATCGTTACTCTTATAACCACCCACGCCTCCAAAGTGCGGAGCTTGTTTTTGCGGCAATAAGACGGTAACCACGAACTTTCGGATTCGCAGTCAGGGTACACTAACCATTAGGCTGCGCCCAGTCCATCTCTTCTAATATGTTAACTAAGTACTTATTTGCATCTTAATGACGACGACAGCATTTTTGCAACTCACCACAATCAGAACTTGCGTCACTTCCGGCTTTATGCTCTGAGGTTTGGTCGAACAAGGCTTTACACTTAGTTCTCCTCTGTAAAGGTAAACAAATGATTACTATGTGTTACTCAAGAATTATTTTCATATTAAGTTTATAATAATTAATAAATTTCTTTTTATTTTAGGTTGTTTCGTTTATGTGCAACGAAATAAAAGCAAGTTCAGTAATTAAACCTTTCGGTCTCTACCACCATAGACACTCATAGGCATAGGAACAAATACGTTAATATATTTTGGTGAGCACAATGCTTATCTGCCTAAATTGATACTTGTAGAATAAAACCATACGATCGGTAAAAAGTAAATAAGATATATCAGTGCATATCAAATAACAAAGTTTATATTACGAGTAACGAAGTATTCCAGGTTGAAACATTATTTGCCCTCAATAGTCCAACTAGATCAACATACGATACGTATAATGGAGTTAAATGTGATATTAGGGGCAGAAATTGCCCTATTACGTTAATAATATGCCTGATAGAGAAGTATGATATTAGGTGCAAAGGTTGACCTGGTATAATATTTTTAACAATATTTTCATTTGTAATACATGAAATAATATGAAATATTTTCCTTTATTTCTGTCAGTCATTGTAAACAGTTAAAATTTGCATAAAAAGGAATTTTCAAATAAACGATTTTGTACATTTTACATTCTTGTGCATTCCTCAAATGCTCTTACTTGAATTTGTTAAACAATAAATATCTTATAATGGAGAAAAAGTTTTAGACAGTTTGGATAGTGTGCAATAAAGAATCTTGTACAAATTACAATAAGTTTTGCTCGTAACTTTTCTGTATTTTTCATGCGTATAGCCAAACTTAAGAATAATCTAACTAATGCTTAATACGGGTAGCATGTCCTTTAAAAATACAAGTATGACATAACAGCTGATTTAACTTATTTGTTGCTAAACAGCAGGTCGTGTATATTTACCAAGATGTTTCTTCGGCGTTTCTGAGACTTTTACAAGCTAAAGTAGGATCCAAACAAAAACAATTACATTAAGTTTGTCGAAAGAGTGATTAGTGAGTTATTATACAAGTTTTAATTAATAATGTGTGTGTGTGTTAAATAACTAATGTGATTAGGGTCAGTTTATTTTATTTTCAATTACTACCTTAAGGTGTAATTTGTTTCTTTGTTTTTATCTGGAAGATCCAACTTCATTAACTATCCTAAGCTGAAAGTATTAAAATCTGTTTCATTGAAAACCTATTACGCTTTACACAGTTGCTATATTAGGTTAAACTCAAATAACAAAGCTGGTGTTATTACTATATAAATTAGCACTAATTATTTTAGTATTCAGACCCTGCGTAGCTACATAACGACAAAAAAAAATATACGCTTTTCTTAAAGAGAAATCTCTTCATGGTACCTGGAGATGATTCATAATTAATGGATGGGTGAACTACAAAATTTAAATTTGTAATTCTATATCAGCTAAATAAGGACAATCGAAAGGTAATGACATGGACTTTGATAAACAAAGTAGAGCACTATACCGGTTGTGGAACGTCATAGCTGTTTTCATGCCCTCTTGTGGAGGAACGAACAAGACTACGGCATCCTGGTGCGCCCTCTCGAGACATCATTTCATGAGAAAAGACAGGGACGCGAGTGGTAGCGTAAGGAGAAGGGAAGTAAGCTGATTCATTAGCATCATCATACTGTTTTTCAATGTTTGCCATTGGAATAGCGTCTCCTTTGGGCTCATCCAAGCTATGTACGCCTTAATTGAGAAACACATAATGAATATATACTTTAACAATCAAATATGAAAGAAATATGTACAATTATTATTGTAAAAATTTCGCGACACAAGCTAGATTTACAGAAAAATTAACAAATCTAAAGCTTTTAATTATTTCACGTTACTATTATTTAAATATGTTCAAATAAGGATTTAGTACTTTTCAAATGGTGTGATGCGTAACAGAGAACAACGTTCTAAGAAAATAGCTCTAATTTTTCAGCTAAGGCTGTCTTCAGATAGCTCATGTAGATTTCTTAACATAAATATATATATATACTGATAAGGCAAAATTGATGACATTCTTTTATAACAGTTGAAACGTGTGAAAAAAAGTATACTAAATACATAATTAAGCTGCACGCTAAAGTTATTTCATTGTACTAGTATAATTGTAACTAAGTTAAAATTTGTGAATAACTTCATGTTTAACAGGTAGATTTCTGAAACTATTTAATGTTATAGTGAATCTATTGTTGAAATGTCTAATGGAAAAGTTGTGTAAATAAACATTAAATTTTTTTTACATTTAGTATGATGAAATATTTTAATTGTGTTTTTTTCGTGAAAATTGTTATATATATAGTATTCAAAGGTGGCGAGGTTTATGTAAGTAACGATTTGTTTTAACTATTTAAAAACTTTTAACGCGTTATTTGATAATCAGATATTTGGAGTAATATTAATTCATGTACAAATATCCTAATGAACTGAATTAATCAAAATGAAAACACCGAGAAAATTTCTTATTTTCTTTTATTAAATTTTAGTTTATTTTTTACAAAATATTCGTCATAATATTTAACAGAATACTATTTTGCTTTGCAGACCAGAAATGTTTAGCAATTCGTGAAAAGTTTGGAATGGAGTGCTAAATTGCTTATGTGTGTGTTTTAATTTCACAGAAGTAATTCAAAATATAATGTATTAGAATAATTATCTATAAATAAACCCCACCCTGCAAAGTAACACCAAAAAGCACCATACCTTCGTTAGAAGATGCTGAAGTTCGTCCACGACATAGGATAAAGAAAAGGGCTAGAGTAATAGCGATTATAACAACAGCGGCACAACACACAGGAACGATGACATAGAGACTTCGATGTCTACTCCTGGAGCTAGTGTCGCCAGGGGGGACCATAGTAGCTTTTTGAAGAGATTTTACAACTAAGCTTGAGATACATATATGACAAATCTCATCATAATCTGTAACCAGCCTATCACTGAGGTATAAATGTGGTATTCTTACCACGTAACTTAATTATTAACCAACAGGTGAAGGTTCAGAATCTGAGTAATCGAGAATTATGCCGAAAAAGTATTTTGCTAGGCAAATTATCAACAAAGAAAATGGACTCTGTGTGTCACAAAGACGCTCTTTTCATACTTTAAGATTATAAGTCTTTAATTAAAAACTATCTGCATTTAATATTAGAGTAGAGGCTATTTCATATATTGATCTAGATGAACTTAAAAGGTAATAAATAAAAGAAGATGAATGTTGTAGAAAGTTAACGAAGCACAAATATCAATAGATAGCTATCTCAAAGAATGTACAGAAATACAATTTACGTGCACAAGCTCTCTTTTCAATACTTGGAGAAAAGCTCTCTTAATAAAGATCTTGCAATACTCAGAAACAGTATAAGAACGAAGGAAGTAGCTGATTAGATACAGATTATCTTTATTTAACTGCGCATGGCAACAGACCCACAACACATAAAGACCGACTTTTAGGAAAAATGAAGCATTTACCCTCATGCAATTAAAACACTTATATTCAAGTTCACAGACAACTGGTTAGAAATCTGATTGTTTCTTTCTAGCCTGTTGTGATTAAGATGAAAAATTATGTAATTATGGTTCCCTCAGCATAGAAAACTAAACTATAGAAAACTTACATTTATATAATTAAAACAGTAATGCGTATGCGTGCGTGGGAAGCTTTTTAAACTTCATTAAACCATGCAGAAATGAAATTAGGAGTAAGGAAGCACGGACGACGTCAACATATGCGTAAGGGAGAAATGGATATAGATAGTATTATGCATTGCAAAGGGAAAGATATTTGAGGAATGGACACGCCATTCTTCAGGGCCTCTTCTCAAACACCAGTTTATGTTTGGAGATTTTGTGTGTGAATTTCTTCATTTGTTTATTGACACTAAGAGCACCGGTACTGTCATCTTATTGAGTTTTAATACTTTATATATGTCTTTATATATATCGTCTCTTGCTAGTTAAATTGATTGGTTTGTCATTTTTGAACAGATCATTTGGCTCAAAGTGTCTTTTGTATTAGAGGTGTTTGGTGAGTATTGGAAGTATGGAATAGGTTTAATCTACTTAGAACTGAACGTTACAATCATTGAGATGCCCCACACGACCATCAGATCCGTTCAGAATTCTACATGCTTAACCTTATAGTAGTCTAGCCTGTTTTAATTAATTAAAATACTCAGCATTGACTTTATAATTTATAAACTTTTTGCATTCAAATACAAAATGCGAGTCGTAAGAGGCTTAAAAAACTGCGGTAATTCATCACTAAGAACAAGACTCTTTGGCAGATTTAACTGGTGGCGCCTATATCCTCTCCAGGTAGCCGTCCCTACTTTAGTGCTTTCTTAACCACTATTCAACATCAATAGTATTGACGATACATTATCAGGCAGGTGGGAACACTGCCTATGTAGGGATGGTTCAGATTGTTCATCGAAATGGTATTTTAAATATCTTCTTAATAGGTCATCAGAACTCTACAATACTGTACAGTATTTCCTTTCATAACTACAAGTTCTGGGGATGTCTCTAAATATCATAGCAAAAAGTTTGAATTTCTTGTCCTTCTTTCATCTGCTTCTTTTTTATTACATGATAACTTAAAAACCAAAACAATAAAGTCAATCAATTTCACTGAGGTGACAAAGTTTCAAACGAAGTATCCGCTTTTATAAGTATTATTAATAATTATTAGTAATTAAAAAATCATAAGTATAGTGTAAACGATGTTATCATTACTCCTTGAAGTTAGTTTTCTTATAGAAATTTGGTGTTCCTTTAAAAAGCGTAAGTACAGGATGAAAAAGGAATTACCAGCCAATAATAGATAAACAATGAATGTTACACTTGGAACATCATTGTATTTAGAACTTGGTTATAAATACAATATTCCTATATCTATAGAAACACTGCATTAAAAACTAACAAGCAAACAAGTAAAGAAAAACCTTCTCAAAAAGGGAGTAAATGTAGAGTTGGCTGATATTAATCCTTCAAAAACAATGCAAAAACATAATAGCACAGGTACGAATTAACATATAACAATATATATAACTATTAAATCACAATTGAGTTTAATTTATCCAATATTTGTCTGTTAACATTCTACTACACTGTGTGTGCTTGTGCTATTACGTAAGAATGATGCAATATGCCATCCCTACTATCTTGTTTGCGTTATTTTTAAAGGATTGATATTAGCCATCTCTACATTTACTTCCTTTTTTGAAAAGTTTTTTCTTTAGTTGTTATAATTAAGATATATCATAATTTCACATTCTTCAGTTCTTCCCAACATTTCACCCGATCAGTATGTTAAGATCATTGTCTCTAGAAAATATGGTGTATGAAAGTAATAAATAAGTATCTATTTATTTCAGAAATTTAAATAGTGTATCAAACTGCTTCTTTGCTATTGACATAAGATATAATAGTTTTTAGTATAAAAAATAAATATGAAACCCAATCTATCATTCGATTTACCACTTGTCAGTGAGTTATGGTGGTTACTGAAAATTCTACGCCTCATCAGTAAGCATGGACAATGGTAAATCCAAAGAATAATTCTAGACTTCATATATGGTTTAGTATATATTGTATGCATGGCGTTTTGAGAACTTTTATACTCACACAGTGATCCTTTATTTATATAGGAATTTCAAAAATATGCAGCATCGATCTTATGAATTGTTCAGCTGACAAGCTGTTTAAGATCCAATTCACAAATGGGTATAACAAATAAAAGTTTCCTGATCCATTATCATTATATCAATATGTGTCATATGGCTAGTTTCCAAGATCTCAGATGAAACTAATAAAGTATTTCATTAAAAGTAAACATAGAGGTAAATCATTTTAGTTTGAAATTAAGGAAAGCATTGTGAGTATCACAAGGAATGCGTACCAAATTAAAAAAATATATATTAAATCATTTTTATTCTACATGTAGGAAGAAGCAGACAAGGAAACTTTTTAGGTAATTTTGTTGATTATTTGGCTGGAGCAAAAAGAAAAGTTAATTTTTAATACTAAAACATAATCGGTATTTTTTCTGTTCTTGTTTGAACATTTTGGTAATAGATTGCGTCTTTAGAAACTAATATTAAATTTTACTGTACGCAGAACGTGTCACGGATAATTTATATTAATATCTTATGAAGATAATATTGAAATCCCTAACCGAACGAGATAATTTTGATGAAGCTGCATTTTTAAAAATAGGTTATCAATCAACACACCAAAAGCAGAGTAACCTTTAGGGGCGTACAGTACGTTTTGGTACAGTATTGTCCTTAAGAAGCTTAAATGAATTTACAAAATTATTGTGACATCAATCTCTTTCTCTACGACAGTAAATTCACAAATAAATAACTTTAAGGCCATATAAAGACTAGAACTTTAAATAATTTTGAGTCCAAGTATTAAAGGCTACTAACTAAAAAGCCAGAAAACTCCAACTAGCAGACTATTTAATTTCCTCAAAAGTTTCACTTTTTTACAGGACAAAAACTTAATGGAAACTCAAAAGTCCAATGGAATTGGCATGGCCTGGTAGCTATGGCGCTTGACTTGCAATTTTAGGGTCGCAAGTTCGAATCCCGTCAACAACCATGCTCGCCCTTCCTAAAAAACAACGTCTTTAAACGTCATATCCCTAAGAAAAATTACTTAACAAATAATATTAAAGACAAAGATAGTTCAACAAAGAGTACTTCCAAATCTCTAAAATATTTCAGCTAATTAAGGATTGCCTACATCTTTCAGATATTTCACCTAAATGTAGATCTAAAAATCTACAATAGTCCATCTAAGAAAAAACTGAAATAGGTAAAGTAATACCCTTACCACAGGCCACATTTTTACATAGGAGAGAGTCTAATTCTCTAAGATAGTTCACCAAATTCACATAAAACCATAAATTGGTATAACTAATGGAAGGTCTACTTTCCAAGATGGCTTACCTAAGGAATTATTTACATTACTTTAATCGCCCACCTAAGGGTAAGTATTATGTATTAAAACATTATTCAACAATTCCCAATAGATTCTTATGATATATCATATTGCTGTCACTGGCTCAAACTAATAAACAGCACAACACCCAGATGGATTTTATGACTTTTATAATGGTTTCTGAGCATTTAGTTTGAAACTTTGTAAAGGTTTTGTGAAACAAATCTACATCAGCGAAAGTATAAGTTTCAGAGAAACCTAAATTACATAACATTGTATAAAAATATATAGGTGGGATAATTCTAGATTTTCAGTTTTAAAACTTCGTTCGGGTGAAGGCTGAAATGACCAAAAACGTAAATAACCATTAAAACGATATTTCCCAATTTTCACATGGCATCTTCTGATGCACATATATTAACACAGATAATTCTTAATTAAGGGATAGTCACATAATTGGATTGCACAAGCGCAATATCAAATAAAAGTATAACAACCAATATTTATTTAGCATTATAAACATACGACGAATAATTATCTAGGACTTCCTTTATATTTGTTTAAAAGTGTTGTGTATGTGTAATTGCATCATATGACTTTCATTTATTTAAAAAGTATATGTGTTATTGTAGGTGTAGCAGATGACAACATTTGAAAACTGGCGAAACTTCGTTTTAGTAATTATGTATATTTTTGTTTGTTTGTAGTTAAGCACTTTTGTTTGTTAAGCAATTACACAATAGGCTATCTGCGCTGTGCCAACCACGGGTATCGAAACCCAGTTTTAGCGTTATGCGTTCGCAGACTTGCCACTAAAGGACATTTTTTAAGTTTGTGATTACTCAAGTTTTTAGCGGAATAAAGCTTTAAAACAACATTGTATTAATCATAAGCTTGTATTTGTAGAGGAAACAACTAATGTGATATTAATTAAACTGTGAAACATACTTGTTACAATTTCAGAACTAGTGCGCTTGAAAACAATATACTTTGAAGATGAAGCTTTTAAATAATTCGAAAATATGACATTGTTTAGAACGAAACAAAAAATATATAAAACGCTAGTAATTTAATTTCCTACATATCTGATTCAAAATTTCATAAATACTGTTGTATTTAGGAATGTAGCAAATTTATAGACTTAAACAGAACTTAAAATAGTTTCAATTAGTGCTCTAAAGAATGAAATAATGATCTGATTATACAAACTCCTCTAACAGATGCTTAAAAGTGATTCTATTTTACCACCAGTAAGAGTAAGCGTCGCTACTCTGTATTCCTCCTCCACGACACTGGCACTATTAACAGCAGTCACGAGAACAGAGTACCACGTTCCCGGCTTCAGATCGGAGACAACCACTACCTGTTGTTCTGGGTAGATTTTGGAACTAGCTACAGTCCACTCCATTTGACTTTGAGCTTTATATTGAAGCTGAAAGTGTTGTATAGTACAACCCCCATCACTCCAACTGCCTAAGTTAAACGTCAAACTAGTGGAGTTATAAGAGATTAAGTCGTGTTGTGATGGCGCCTCCGGAGCTGAAAGATATTATATACAAAATACATGCGTAGAGTAAAATAGGATATGTTTCGATCGTATATGTGTATATTACAATATTAAGAGAATGGTACAAAGTCTAATAATAATTTCTACTCTTTGAAGCTAAATACTATTTAAGGCTATCTTTTTGTACAGTTACAATTATTATTAGGATTTTCTTCACTTTATGGTTACACAGATTATAATATGCAACGTATTTACTTATATTATAAAATCAGTTCCATACTATAAACAGCTGACAATTGTAGCTGCGAGCTATACTAGCCTGTCTCAGTCAAATTAAGTCGCTGGTAGGGAATGTTATCTATGTAGCTTTGTTTGTCTCTAAATATGAGAAATAGTTTGGTGCTAATTTTATTTACATATAAACGTTTCTGCTCATTCTCCCAAGCTGTTTCCCCACGGCTAATATAAGGCTTATTGAATACCATTCACTGTCATAGGCTTAACTAGATTGATGAGGTCTGACACAGCTTGAAACTACATTTCTTAGCTGGTCACGCTGTATGGGATTTGTTACACAATATGAGCAATTATAATATATACTAGTATAAAAGCCCGTCAAAAATGACGGAAAACCATGGCTGAATGATTAATGAAAATTATAGAATTTAACTAACTGTACCTCCATAATGCACCTACTCTTCACTTATTTCATCAGTCTTGAAGTAATTCTTTAATCACCACATTTTTAGTCAAAACTACGCAGAAAAATGAAATGTTATCATGAAAAAAGTACAGGTGCACTCTGAAAGAGACTTAAATAGCATTCTTCAGCCTTTTCACTGTATTGTAGGTCCGGAATTAGAAAACATAGTGCGGACATTTCGACACAAATTTTCAACTCTTTTGACTGTACAAAGGATAAAAGATATTTGGTAGTAATAAACGTTTATTTTTCTTTATGGTTTAAGGCCAAGTAAGTAATATATGTGTTTAATACCAAAAGAATATTTATTAATTAACATTTATTCACCACTTACAACTTTTTTAAACACTGACTCTATAAGGTTAGTAATATTAGGCTTATTTGTAGTCATATTTAGGCTTAATACATAAACGTAACGCTTAGCTGAAACACTACTTGGTAGATTATATTTTGCTTTTGGCTACTACTCAATGTTATAAAACTTCCGAATGAAACTATTTTGCTGTTATATCAGCAAAGTTATAAAAAATAAGGAATAAAAACAAACCTTTCTAACAAATCAACACGAATATTGAGCATTTAACATAAACACCATAGTTAGCTTAAGAACAATCAGATGATAGTGTTGTTGCTAAGTGACGATGTATATTGTTGAGCATTACCAAAAAAAGGACTGTGAAAGCGTCCTCGTCAGAGTGACAAAGGGAATAAGCCTTTGTAGTTAGTGATTACAATCGATATCAGTCGATTATCTAGAAACACTTAGCTATTTAATTGTATAGGACTTGTATGTATTACACCAGACACCAGTAAGTATACAGAACTCTCTATAATAAATGATGTATAAAATCTATTGTCCCATGAATATTAAAACCACCTTTTTTCGTTGTTTTTTTTTTCGTTTTTTTTCTTTTTGCAGCCACGAGGTGTTTGTACTTCTAAACCTACAGGTCTTTTAGCTTAATAGATAAGCAATATAAAAGATAAATTGTTGGCATAATTGTTGATTACTTTCGTTTTTAATATAAAAGTGAAATATTTTTACATTTTATTCAATTATATTTTTGTAGTAACTGACAAGCGTTCATTCGTAGTAATAAAAAGTAACCGTCAGTGGTTTTGGACGAGACAGCAGATTTAAATGTTTTAACAGTATCAAAAACGCTCAAACTTAGTCATGTTTGAAGCAGCTACGTATGTTGTGAGAAGTTTAACAACTAATATCTCACCTGAGCCTTTAGTTGTACCGATGACGATATTACTGGGGTCACTTCTACCCAAAGAATTAAAAGCAGTTATAAAAAACTGATAGGTTTTTCCACACTGTAATCCTGTTACTGAGTGAATGTTTTTGTCTCCAGAAACCTGACTTTCAGACCAGGTAGTCCCATCCTTAAGTCGGAAGTGAATTATATAGCCTGCAAAGTTAATATACAAGGTATTTACAAAGGGTTGTATAATTTGTAAATTATAAAATCTGAAAAGAGAAAAGATAAAGACAAGCAGCAAAAATTAGAAATCGTTCTGTGGTATGCAAACTTCTGTTTATGGGCAACAGTTAAGCTACTGATGAATGTCGACAAGTCTATTATAGAAGCTACTATCGAACAATGCATTTTTAAGCGATGTCATAAGCTTTTCAAACACATGGGAGCTGTGTATCCTAAAAGGTGTACTGGACAACGTAATGTAAGTTTCCCCTCACTAACTAAAGTCTTTCAGCGTATCGCCATAAAATCTGTGAAGAGAGAGTGTCTGATGAGCATGATACAAAAATGGCCACAATGCTTAAAAGTTGAACAGAGAATATGAATTTTAGGGTATACAAAATTCAATTCACGTAGTGCGCTGACTGCTCAAAGAGGGCAAGGAGGTTAGACTTGTGATAAGTACCATGTTTCGTAACTATGTGGATCAATATGATATCCTATTTAATTATATTATCATCTCCAGATTCGCCGAAAAAGTTATGGAGTTGCTGTAAAGGCCAGTGAACCGAATGGCCGACCCCAGAACTATATGTGATTAAGGTCGAATGAAGAAAAAGAACAGCCATTGGACTCGCATGTCTGGGCACACTGTTGAAGGTTGATGATGATATCGCCACTCTTTACTTCCAGTAAGGCAAGACATCTCATCATCTTGTAATCTGTGACATTGGAACACTGAACTACTGAATAAATTACTAACCGTGTGGATTGTTATCCTGGACACCTAATTTTTCAGACCTAATGCTGCTAAACCTTTGACTATGTGGACATATCAAATATCTATTTTGCACTTCATGTTCGGATACACAAGGATCGTCAATAAACGTTTATAGCAGTACGCTGAGATCGACGTAGGTCATAAAACGTTAAAGTACGTAAACCAACATTAACTTTACAACATAACTCCAGTTAAAATACGCAGACGAACATTAACTTTACAACATAACTCCAGTTAAAATACGCAGACCAACATTAACTTTACAACATAACTCCAGTTAAAATACGCAGACCAACATTAACTTTACAACATAACTCCAGTTAAAATACGCAGACCAACATTAACTTTACAACATAACTCCAGTTAAAATACGCAGACCAACATTAACTTTACAACATAACTCCATTTTTCTTTGTTATATTAGAATGTAAAACAAGATAATGTGAACAAGAAGAACAACTGTAAGAAAAAGATGTTGATGATACTGATATGTATAATCAAAGTAGAATTCATGTAAGGTTATACGTTACATTAGCGTAAACAGGTAGGTAGAAGAATAGGTAAAACAACAATAAGGATTGTTTGTATATTTGTTTCAAAATTTTCTCCTAAAGTTATATAAAAGACTATCTGCTCTTACTCGTTTCTAATTTTGACGTGATATACAAGAGGGAAGGTAACTAGCCAACAACACCCACTGCCAATTCTGACGTGATATACTAGAAAGAAGGCAACTAGCCAACAACATCCACTGTCAATTTTGACGTGATATACTAGAAGGAAGGTAACTAGTCAACAACACCCACTGCCAATTTTGACGTGATATACTAGAGGGAAGGTAACTAGTCAACAACACCCACTGCTAATTTTGACGTGATATACTAGAGGGAAGGTAACTAGCCAACAACACCCACTGCCAATTTTGACGTGGTATACTAGAGGGAAGGTAACTAGCCAACAATACCCACTGCCAATTTTGACGTGATATACTAACGTAAAGGTAACTAGCCAACAACACCCACTACCAACTCTGAGGATACTCTTGACATTCCGAATAGTGGAATTTCAACGCTACTCGTGTAGCACAACTCCTGACCCTGAATGCAGAACGCATTTTTTTTTGGCGAAAACGGGATACGAAGCACGAACCATCATATTCATAGACTTGTCCGACCCGGCAATAAGGAAACGTCTTGTTACATTTTACTAAACTAAAATTAGAAATTTTATTTTTATTTATCGCAATTAAAAACAACACACCAGTCAAGATCAAGGTGACAAAGAAATGTTAAAATACTTTTTTGGCTTTTGTGAAACGTAGAACAAAAAAAAATTGAATTTCAGTATAGTGTTAATGTCAAAATACAAAACTTTAATAACAACGACAGTAACATAAACAATTAAAAGTACCAGAAATTTTGAAAAATATTCTTCAAACGTTAGTTACGACTAAATTGCGAAGAATGAGTGTTTGTGTTAATAGGTCAGTATTTCTCCTTCGCTAGATGTTCTCCTGCAATATATTGATGTATGGCTCTATTTCGTTCGTAACGACTTGATTGGGAAGTATTGATAGACAGTATTTTCTCATCCTAAAATGTCCTGACTTAGCACCCTTCCCCATACCACACAGTTTTGACTTAAATGTTAGTTTTAAGCATAAGAAAAATAAACGACTGCTTGAGACTTTACGCTATTCCAAATAAATAAACAACGTTTTTAATTTTGCTACCGATGTTGTTTAACACTTTAAAATATTAGTTAGGTACTTAACTTTATCCTTAGTTTGAGATGTTTATTAATTGTATTTTCTGAGAAGGGGGGGGGGGGTAAGTTTTCCGATAAAAACCCGCTGTTGCGAAAATTGCTAGTTAACTGTGTGATCTGATTACTCTGCCGAAACGGAATAGGGATTCTGTACTAAAAGACGGTGCGCTGGTCGGAACCCTATCAACAACGTACAACTGCACAACAACAGGAACCCTACTTAAGAAAAACGTGACGAAATGCCTAAATGTAGAGAAGGACACAGACCTTATGTCTACAACAGTCGGGGTTAACACTAAACACAGTAAAGGGCAACGGGAAACAAAACTGGTAACACGTGCACGAAATAGTGTTCCATACTAACGACTTTTAAAACTGGAACGCAAAAACAGTTGAGTTACTTTCCTTTAAATATTTCAACAGTTACTAAATAAATATTTAGCATCACGTTCTGAAGAATTTAAGTAATATTATAGAGAAACGCCAATTTTCAACATATTCTAATTTATACTTAATATATTCAGTGTAATCCAAAACGACTTCCTCAACTTTACCACTTGGTTTTCGAAGTCCAGCTTCATTGAAAGTTGAGCTACATAGGTTGCAGGATAGACTCTCACCGAGAAAACAAATAGATGTATTATAATCTAAAAGTATATTTTGTGTGCATATGAAACTTCTCCATAACACTAATCGCGATTCTTCCTTATAAGATATATAGTATAAATTACAAAACGACCTCCTAAACTATATCATGTTGATCTTATTTAGAGTTCCGACTTTTTGATAAGTTTGTAAATAGCCTCCCAACGGGGACACACATAGATAAGGTAAAAAATATATTTTGCCATTTTTGTGTGCATAATAATTTGTCCATAATACTACTTGGGATACTTTATTAGGAGTCAATGGGAACTGAATATTCTCCATCTGTTATGGGTAACCCTACTCCTAAAACACAAACAAATCATACAAAAAACTGTCGATTAGTAAGCAACAAGTATGGAGGACTCTATTCTACAATCATCACCGCCGACTGTTCCTGTACTTCGTTTTTTAAGTCTTCATTCTTTGTATTACAAATACGTATGGAAGACTATTCTACAATCACCACTTCCGACTGTTCCTATACCTCGTTTCCTAACTCTTCATTACTTGTATTACAAATACGTATGGAAGACTATTCTACAATCACCACCTCCGACTGTTCATGTACCTCGTTTATTAAGTCTTCATTCTTTGTATTACAAATACGTATGGAAGACTATTCTACAATCACCACTTCCGACTGTTCCTATACCTCGTTTCCTAACTCTTCATTATTTGTATTACAAATACGTATGGAAGACTATTCTACAATCACCACCTCCGACTGTTCATGTACCTCGTTTATTAAGTCTTCATTCTTTGTATTACAAATACATATGGGAGACTCTGTTCTAAAGTCATCACCTCCGACTGTTCCTGTACGTTGTTTTTAAGTCTTTATTCTCTGTATGACAAATCTTTAGGGCAAATGTCTCACTTTTTCATCTAGAAGGAATTAGAAGGGCTTTCTGGCTCTCAAAAGTCAGCCAAGAAGCTATGTTCTGATGACATCTCGATCGAAACATCTTCAACACGACATAGCAACCTACTCCTGAAATCGAAATCCATCGGGGATATACCTATTGAGGTTACTTCACATGTTACTTTGAATTTTTCCCGTTGAGTAAATGTTAAGAGGGACTTACTTTACATCTCTGAATCGGAGATTCTCGCTGGTTTCTCCAGCCAAGGAATATTAGCTGTGTGATGTATCTATACTTGTAATGACGAAATTATGTGGCTGTCCTAGGTTCTTGTTTTAACATTTATATCACCATGTCCAACTGCCTCTATCAAGGTGGGTTGTCTCAACTGTAAGGTGTGGTCCTACATCCTTAACCATCTATCCTGTTTCCAGTGTTAGTGATTTGGATATATAAGACATCTTGTCGTGGGTCCGTGACGTGTGCTCATTGTAGTGGCAATGACCATAACGCCTACGAGTGTCAATTGGACTCTCACTGCGTCAATTCCGGTGGTTCCCACATCTCATTCTCCCATTCTTGCACTAAATGGGTGAAAAAAAAGCGGTACAATGTTTACATACTTTAATAACATCTCTTATCTGGAGGCCTGAAAGTTGTCCCCTCTTCCACCTTAGACATATGCTGCTGCATTCCATTCCACTACTACAGTGTGAGTGCAGACAGGTCTTTCCATGCCTCCTACAGAGTATATCTCACACCATATATATAGAATATTTTACCCTCTGTGGATTCAAGAATTTACAAGTCTACATCTACTCATGACTATGTCCCCTCTACCGCATCCAGTGACTGCTCAGGTTTCTTTCCTTCGGCTCCGAGATGCAGAACCATTATTCAATCATGTACTCAGTCACTGGAGTCTCCTTTGTCTGCCAGAGATCTGTCCAATCGGCCAGGACGGGTTCCAGGGAAGTTGACAGACCTCCCTCTACTAAATAAAAATGCTGTGGTCGCAAACAAAAGGGTTCTCCACCTCGTTCTCCTCCTTCTAAGTAAAAATGACCACTTTGATACAGGGGAACTGTCGTGGTTTTCTTTCCAATTTGGGTGATATTGAGATCTTATTCAATTTCTATTATCATGTGTGTGTCTCTCTCTCCTTACAGGAAACATTTCTCAGACCTGCCAATGCTGTCATATTTTTGCGGTTTTTCTTATACCAGAATGACAGGTTGTGTGATGGATGAGTTCATGGAAGTGTGGCACTGTTGGTTGACTAGCATGTACCCACCATATCTGTGCCATTCAATATGTCCTTGGAGGCTATAGCTGTCTGTATCTCCATGGGTCATACCATCATTGTATGTTCTCTTTACCTGTTACCAGGAAAGATTTACAATCAATCAGACTTGGATGCTCTTATTTAACAATTTCTGGCTCCCTTTTTCCTGTTGGAAGCCTTTAATGGATAGAATCTACTTTGAGGTGATACTGATATAGATGGGAGGGGTCGTTCTGTGAAGCATATGCTCTCAGATCACAACCTTTCTCTTTTCAGTACTGGTTCATTTACCTATTTTCTCAATCGTAGTCAGTATTTTACTGCTACTGATCTGTACTTTTGTTCCCTCTAAATTTTTTATCATTTTTCTTGGAGGGTGGACAATGACTCATGAGGCAATGATCATTTTCCCATTATTTTAAGGAAGTTTGGCCACAGCTGATACCACACAACGTGGTGGAAGCTGGAGTAAGTTCACTGATTCTCCTTCACCACTCTTTTGGAACTTTATCCTGCTGTCGTTAACAACCACATGGAGGCAGTAACTGAATGTATTATTTAAGCAGCTGTTCCTTCGATTCTCCAAACCTCGACATGCTTTTCGTTGTATCCTTGTCCATGGTGGAAGCCTATCTGCCAGTGGGTACAGAAGGTTCAGAAACAGTCCTGGGATATCTTTTGCAAGTATTCCAATCTTTCCAACAGCATTAATTTCCAGCAGGCTCGTGCTCATGCCTGGCTGGTCAGATGTCAAAGCCAGAAGAAATTTTGGAGTAAGTTTACTACCAGCATCTCTTCTACCACCAGTTACAAGGTCGTCTGGGGCTGGATATGAAAGGTTAGTGGGAAGTATGCTTAAAATTTTTTTTCGATTTTGCTCTCCAATGGCCAAGAAGTTGCTGATGTTCAGGACATCGCTGACACCCTTGGGGATGCTTTTATCACCTTTTCAGCACTTCTGTCTCTTTTCCTGCCTTCTTGGCCATCAAGTTATGGGCTGAGCAATTACCACTTTTTGGGGCAGATCGTTCCTATAACTATAATCGTCCATTTATGCTGGTGGAACTTAAACTTGCTTTTCATTGGCCTGGCAGTACATTAGTTGGACCTGATGATATTCATTATGAGATGCTTCTCATTATCATCCTATTGCTTTGACTAGCTGTTTCTGTAAAGTTTTGGAGTGGTTGGTTAATGTCTGTCTTGTTTGGTTCATTAAATCAAACAACCTTTTCTCGTGGTGGTTTCATCGATAGCACTCCACTGTAGACCACCTGATTCATCTTGAAACCTCAATCAGAGAAGTTCAATAGAGAGCACCTTGTGTCCATTTTATTTGATGTTTAGAAGGACACGACACTATGTGGAGGTATGGCATTTAATGGGACCTCCATTCCTATGGGTTGCATCACGATTTGTCCATTTTTTTGCAACTTTTTACTTGACAAGAGTTTCCAAGTCCATGTGAGTTCGACCCTGTTCTGTTTCTTCTCACAAGAACTTGGAATCCCTCAGGATTGTGTCTCAAGTGTCACACTTTTCAGTATTAACATCAATGCTATCATTGTACAACTTCCCCTACTGTTGCTAACAACCCCTATGTCGACGACTTCCACATTTGTTGTTGGTAGTCTAATATGAAATTTATTGATTAGTAGCTTCAGAATGCTATAATGTTATAATGTGACAGTCAATCCCACTATTCGTTGATAAAAGAGTAGCGGTGGGTGGTGATGACTAGCTGCCTTCCCTCTAGTCTTACAGTACTAAATTAGGGACGATTAGCTCGTGTAGTTTTGCGCGAAATTCAAACCAAACAAACATTTACCAAAAAATCGGAACTCTAAATAAAATCAAAATAGTATAGTATAGAGGTAGTTTTGTAATTTATGCTATGTATCTCATAACGAAGAATCTCTAGTAGTGTTATAAACAAGTTATTATGAACACAAACTATATTTTATTTTACTTTATAATGTTATATGTTATGCCGGTGGGAGACTATTATGCAAGTTGGCCTCGACTGGCTAAAACTCGGAATGCTAAATAAAATCAACATGGTATAGTATAGGTGGTCGTTTGGTAATTTATATTATCTCATAAGGAAGAAACTCAGTTAGTGTTAAAGACAAGTTATTATGCACACAAAATGTATATTTTACTTTGTAATATATCTCTTTGTTTCACCGTTGAGAAGATATTATGCCTCGACTGCGTAAAAGGAACTAGTTATTATGCACAATATATCTATATATATATATATATTACTTTATAATGCAACTATGTGTTTCCTCGATGAGACTCTATTTTGAAACATATATAGATCAACTTTCAATGAAGCCAGACTTCGAAAACCAAACGTTTTGGTTTACACTGAATATATTATCCGTAAGAAGTCTTAGATGATATTAGTTACAAGTTAGAATTACACAGTGTAGCGTGAAAGTTGAAATAAAGTTCAATTACCTAAATCAAGAGTAAAAGTTCAGTAAAAAGTTCAGATTATGCTACCAGTGTAGGAAACTCTGCTGATTCTTCAAAAGAAGCCGAGACTAAACAATCAGCAAAGCGCTACGGAACTTTTACTCTTAATTTAAGTAATTGAACAAGTTAGAATGTTTAGAAAATTAATCTTTGTCTGTAATATTATTGAAATTTTCTTTACCTAATACTAATAAAATTATTTAGCAATTGATACAAGTTTATTTCGTGCACGTGTTATAACATGCAAAATTGTTTTAGCACGTGTCTCCCACTTTTATAACTACAATAATTATGTCGTACCTTGAGGCATTTCATCAGGTTTGTTTTAGTTATAGTTCTCATTGTTATAAAGTAGCAAATTATTGGTAGGATTCCGGTCAGTACATCTTCTTTTAGTAGAGAGTTCCGGCTTTTAGCACATCGTCACTAAACTGCATTTTACCGAACTAATATGATGATGATGGTCATAGATCGACGGAAACTGTTGAGAAGCGATGTCTGACTGTTTACTTGTTTAACAGTATTGGTATACCCGATATAGTTGGTCCACAGGAAATAAAATATCATTTCTTCCTAAACAACTTTCTAATGATGGTAAGAAACAATACTGGGCTGAAGTTATATTATTTTCCACAGAAATAATATAAAGAGGGGGCGATTAAGAAACAAACATACAGAGTTCAGTTTAAGAATAAAAGGAAACAAGTTCCTTGGAAAAAACAACAATTAAAATTAACTTTCTAAATCATTATAATAATTATGCTTTGGCACTAATACAATTTACTTTAACTAATATCTATTACAGAATTTGCTATTAAAATTCTTGATGTTACAAACACAATTCAACATAAAAGTCATTAAAAAATGTCATACGTGCCTGTGATCGGGTTAGTATCTTCACTTGCTCTCGTCCAATGAAGTTGAACCAATGATGACGTAGTTGATAACACCATAACACTTACAGCTTTTGGCGGGTCTGCATGTTGAGGGAGATGATGATTATTTTAAAGATTTATGTTTTTAAGAACATAAATGTTGTATTTTAAATGCAAACAACAAACAGAACAGAGATAGCTTACAATGTGATTTACTAAGAATTTGATCACTTAACTTCAGTTTAAATAAAGCTAATATAACATTTGTCTATTGGGATACATTATGCGCTAATTATAACGTGTATGGCACTCCAGTGATCAATATGTTAGAAATTCTGAAACTTTAATGCATAATTTGAATTTATGTTTACTTTAAATTAGTTATTATTTAGCAATTATTTAAATATATTGGTTATAAAATATCCTACTGGGTTAATAATCAAGGAACTGTAACGTTTTCGAAATATTGACCAAGTTTTCTTTCTTTAAGAACAATACTAAAGTATTTTAGTTTTAGAATAAACAAAAAAGCTAATTTTACAACGTAGATGTTTGAGTGATAGCTGATGGTAGTTCAGAATAAAGTTTGCTGTACAATGTCAGGATACAATGATCATATATTAACCCTCTATTGTACGCATTAAAAATACGGTGGAAAATTTTTTTCTTTGAATTTCTTACTTAAATAGGTATATATTATACAATATAGGCCGATACTGTTTTTGTGAAACATGTTTTGGTAAGTTATAAATCGCTACGTCACCTAGAGGTATCGCCGCTCAATTGAAGAAACTACAAAAATAATTCTATAGTTTTTTTTAGACTGTTACTCGGAAGTAAGAAAACAACAGAATTGAAGTATTTGTATGTATTTTAAATAACAAAGATAGATGTGTTACTTTTATTATGTTTACGCAGAGACAAACTGTTTTTCTATTGTTTATTTCTTCTTCTTCCAAACACTTTTCAATCGATCGCCATTCTTTCATTTCTAGGCGGATTGACTTGAAACTAGATAGGGTTATACCTTGGCCCAATACACCCGAAAAGAATAAAAAAAAAGAAAAATCCAACATTTTATGTAAGACAATGTGTTTAGCGCAAGAAAATTTACATTTGTATCAGTTTTCATCTTGATTTCTGTAAATATGTCTGCACAGGAGCCCAGAATATATATTTTCGGGTTGTTTGACTTTTGATCTCATAAAATCCTTAAGAGGCCTAAATAAAAAAAATTTTTAATGGGGTCAAATCTCACAGAAAAGCATAATTTTGGGGGTTTTGTTCAATTACTCGGCTACATTTTGACCAATTTACATGGGATTTGGTACAATGATACTTTTCTATAGGTTGCACACATTGACAAACAAAAATGATGGACTTTCCTATTTTTAATAATTATAGGGGGTCAAGATGACACAAAAAGCATAATTTTAGGGGTTTTTTTTGACAATTACTCCGCCGTACTTGGGTCACATTACATGGGATTTGGTACAAAGATAACATTTTAAAGATCCCATACATAGACATATAAATTACTGAAATACGTTAATTTTTTTGTCATTTTAAGGGGGGGGGGAGGTCGAAAGGTTAAAGAAATCCATAATTATAGGGTTTTGGTCAATTACTTAGCCTTGTTTTGGCCAATTTACACGGAATTTGGTACAAGGATATTCTATGCAGGTCCCAAAAGAGATATATATAATTTTGGAATTTTTTCTTTTGCTCAATTTTTCAGCAAGGAAAGTACAATTTGAAGTTTTCCTGAACTATTCATGTGTATGTCTACCAGATTACGTGGTATTTGGTGCAGATACTTTCTTGTGGGTCCCAAGCAGTGATGTAGATAGTTTTAAATTATTCTGTGTTTTGACGATTTTTTCTGGTGTCAAAATTGGCCATGTGGAGATTGCTTGGTGGAGACATGTTGTATTCGACAGCGAATGTTGGCCTCTTTACAATGTGCAATTGAGCGTTAAGCACAGTGACGTAGATTGACAAAAGTCTTGAATGTCTCATTGTAATTTAGTGTCATTTTTGCGCTAATTTTTGAAACGTTTTAGATAACAATATTGTTTTAATTATTGATATGAATCTTATAAACAATTGAATGTATATTAATCAAATTCAATACAGGATGGCCATTGATCATAACAAAGTGACAGGTATTAAAAGTCAAAACACTAACCATAAAAAAAATATTACAGTTGCGTTGATCTCGAAATGTACAAGTTATTCATTGCATGAGATCTGAGCAAAATGTTTTCGTGCACATAAATGAGATATTGTTTAATTGTATTCATTAAACAAGTAATACGAAATTAATAGATTTTAATTATGTTTTTACCAATTCTGTCTCTGTGAGTAGTATGGATAGGTTTCAGTTATGTGACCTACATCCGGGTAACTCTGTACCTGCTGTCATGTTGTATGTCAAGCTATTAATAATCTATCTACTCAACTCAGCGGGGCGTTAAGTAAATGCACAAATATCATTATATTCTTATTGATGAACCAAATTTGACGAAAGAAACAATAACTGATATATATTGATCAATAATATGTTTTTTTTTTCTCATACATTGTACATGTAGGCAAGATAAAGTCACTGGTCAAGAAAAAGTACCCGAGGCACAGAATGAAATAGACATTGATGTGCAAGTGGTATACATATATATTGCTTTGAAATCAACGCATATAATTAAATGGGACTACAGAGCTCCAAATATTGGTCATCGCACTGTAAATGGGACTACAGAGCTACATATATTGGTCATTGCACTGCAAGCAGTGACAAACTTGTTAATTACGGGAAATGAATTGTGCTCCGACTTTATAAAGTCAATTGGAATGGTATCTTGCAAAATAGTGTCCTATACCTCGTTCAACATGTTTTCTTACATAAGCGATTTTTCTAGTTGATTCAACCTCAAGCACCGACAACTGCTGCTTTCCTTTATGAATGATGGCACTCTAGCCTCAGCACATATAAATCCGACTGAATCTTTAATGTCAAATCTTCTGTCTGCAAGTACAATGTCAACTGGTGTAAGCTTTTCAAAACTCTAGAATTATCAGTGATAAATTTGTCACTTGTCTTTCCACCCCAACCACTGGAGAAGAAAGAAACACTTCCCTGGGGTGTAATTCCAATAAAATACTTCACAGTGTTGTAGCGTTTATACTGTGACCAAGTTTGAGCACGAGCTTTCGCGTTCGAGGGGCGTTCAATAAATATTTCGAAGCCGTCTATTGTAGTTGCAGCCTTTAGTCCAAAACTTCGACTAAATTCAAGTGGCATAGTTAGGTGTAGTTGTTCCGGGTCAGGACAAAATATGAATCCCTTTGTCTGTTCAAACATAACATGTAAAACAGAGAGAAAAAATATGGAAATAGTTGGCGACAAAACTCCAGATCTATAAGCTAAATCTTGAACAAGTGTATTTAATCTTAGACTCACTGGAGAACAATGATATTCTCTTGAAATTGTATCAATGTTAATTGTGTAGTTTCCAAAATATGGTCCGAAATCAAGGTAAAAACAGCCATTAGAGTTGTAAAGCTAATTAGTTCGGTCACATATCTAACTTTTATATTGTTGTCCACAAAAGCCTCTGGTCTGAATTCATAATCACATAACTTTTGACGCAAATTCTGATTTTAATTTAGTGTTCTTTGATATTCTGATCTCAGTTTAGTCACAGTCTCTTCAAGCTAGGCTCAATTACGGGCTCGCTGAATTGTTGTGGGCCCAAAGGAATTTACATTTGACTGTTTCATCATGTTGTCCTTCAAGATCCGTATCTGGTTCGTGGCTTAGCTTAAAGATTGCCCCTGCAGTTACGTGCTGAATTGTTTTTTTCACGATGACTCTTGGCTCTGTTGTAGCTGTAAAAGGGAAAACAAACTGTTTAGCACCCAAATAAAATAAAATAAATGAGACTGATGGATTGTCTCCAAGTATGATGCTGCTCCAAAATTTGACTAATGTACATACAGTACTAGAAAGGACTAAGATCCTAGTGTTGCATATTTGATACATATGAAGTTGCTAAATGATTCACTTTCTATCTAATCATAGCTACAACTAGTATGCTTAATTCTTAAAATTAACATGATTATAGAAAAAACATGTGAACAATTATTTCCTTACCCACCTACCCTGATTTTAGGGGCTATGTAATCGGAAACAAACATATTATTAGGTTATCTAGGTTAGTGATCCCTCTTTATTTAAAAATTTTATTTTAATAAATCAAGATCAATACCGAGGTCTGGCCATCTTCAGCATCTTGGCTAACAGGGTGTCGTTCGCCCTCATTCACCAATAAAGATGCCTGGATGCGTCCGGTTGTACAAATCAGCAGGCTTTCCTTTCAACAAGAAAATAAGATTGAGTAACATTTTACTACCTTATATACTGATTTTATATTCAAGGTGGAATTTTAATTAATATTCCAAAATCGTTGACAGAAGAGACTGATACTAATAAACAAGCTGAATGAATCCGAATTTAGCACAGACGGATACAAAAGGGGTGGAAGTTTCTTTTAAAATGTTATAAGTTATTTACGCTTTGAACACCCAAATAAAATTCCTGGATCTGCCTATGTTTAGCATTATACTATAGAGTGACAAAAGAAAACTAATTCATAAATAGACGTATAAATGCAATAAATATTTTCCAACATATAACGCCTTCTATGGCCTCACACTCTCAGATCTATTTTTGACCTGAAGTATTTCGGTCAACAAGTACACGTGGATGATTAAGTCAGCTCGTACGAATTTAAATATTTTACAAATCTTAAATTTCTATTTGCAAAGAAATGAAACAAATATTTACCTGTCACAAAATGGTCAGAACAGACTTTAGAATAATTGGTCACCTCAGCCTTTCGATTGATGGCAATTATCCAAGCCTCGCAACGCTTTGTTGACAAATGGAAATTTGCATCTCCCTGACGTTTAATCACACTCGGAATGGCATGATACGACCTTTTCACATTAGGATCATCAAATCAATTATGACATCCATTTACAAAACACGTATGCAGCATATTAACAGTGTAAACAAAACGATTTTTCTGCATCTATTGATGCGTAGTTAGGGCATAAACAGCTTGACACACAAGATGGTAGACGCGAATGACTTATTGGATTGGTGACGTAACGTGAAATCTATCTATACTTCATCAATCGATGTGTTCGAAGGAAAACGAAGTTTGATAATAAACAAAATTACGACACTTATGATATACAACAAAGTTTACTGATAAAAAGGGGGACATATATAAACGTTTCGGAATTCTATCAGATTCCATCTTCAGTATCTAAAGCAGAATAAAATGATTTTACATAAATCTTTATACATTGTCAAAGTACAGTTGCTAAATATAACGGTAATTTTGTTTATTATCTATACTTCTTAGACTAAGTCCGTTTGACCTTGAAATGGTTACTTGATATGACCTTCATTTCGTCACATGCAACTGATTCAAGATGGCGGCTTCAAATCGGCACAGTCATATGTGATGACGTCATTAGTATTTCACAACTCCTTATAATCATTTAAATTGTTAATTACCCACCATCCTCTAGGTGCTAGAACAACTCTTGTCTCGTCTCTCCTACGAATGTTCTATCAGTCATTATTTACTATCCACACTAGGTCACTTCATTCATATTAATAAGTTCATAAATACAGTGTTTATTTTTTATTTAAAATCAGGCCCCCCAGTAGCACAGCGGTATGTCTGCGGACTTACAACGCTAGAATCCGGGTTTCGATACCCGTGGTGGGCAGAGCACAGATAGCCCAATGTGTAGCTTTGTGCTTAACTTCAAACAAACAAACAAACAAAAATTTAAAATCAGTACAAAAGCGGATAGTGGTGGATAGTGATTACCAAAGTATAGAGAAAAAAGTGTGTCCACACTGTAGGATTTACAAGACTTTCGCGCTAGGAACATTTAGATTCACCCAGAAGAACTTTTTTATGAGATACTAATGGCATACGCACACTTAATCTAGTATTTTTAGGAGTCACTCAGAAGTATTTGTAATGATATCTTACTTACAACTTAATCAATGTTTCATCATTAATAGAAATTTGTCTTTAGTAAACGATTTAATAAATGGTTTCTCTTCTTCACACCTACCAGAACAGATTCATTCTCGTTTACTAAACTTCGTTTGGTTTGCATGATGGATTTGTAAATGGAGTCATATCTGAGTTCTGAATTGTTGATAGAATGTAAGTTGTTTTTTTTAATATCATTCTTTAAGGTTTTATACTTGACAAAAATCCTTCGTATACTAACTGTTTAGCTTAGCTCAATATATTTCCTTTAGATAACAACTTCTAAGTTTTATTCTTGCTTTTGTTACGATATCACCAGCTAGCACCAGTAAATATATGTCAAACAAGGGATTATCTAAGAGATTATTTGTCTCCACTAGCTAAATTTTCATTACAATTCTTATTTTTAGAGACATCGCATTCATTATAAATAGCTATTACTTTCATTGGTTATTATATGGATCATCATCAGCAGAATCTCTTTTCTCGCACTCCTTTTCACTAATAGCATGAACAACCTTGCCAAAGATATATTTTGAATGGAACCATTTTCACTTTCTCAATAGATGTTCCTTCCAATCTGTGAGCACTTGGTCGTGTCTTTCACAATTAAATATTCTAATGATCTGCAATTTGACATGATTATAAGTTGCTGAGACCAATGTATAATAACTAAACAGAGTTACGAGCCACTTTATACTCCTAAAATTAGTGGCCATGAGCACTTCAGGAACTCATGACTAGCAATAGTGACACTCATTATATTCATGAGATGCTTACGACTATCATTAGTTACTCATAAAATACTTTAATTCATGCTTATTTATCTAAGAGCAACCATAAGTAGTGTGGCATATACTTATCACTAATAAAACATAAAGAAATATGTGATTTTCAACCTACAAGTTTTATCAGCCAAGCAATATGCCACTTTCCTATCAAAATCGAAATTTACACAATTATTTTTCTCAATGGTGGAGGAAACGTGGTTATCAGCCCCCGCCAATGACACCCTTGTGAGCTTGATCTACTTTTACTCTGATACATACACATACAGATGTTTAATAGTTTCGATAGATGAAAAAAATCCACAGGTTCAATCTGAAATATGTTAGCTGTTGATTGGTTTATTTATATCTTTCAACACAGCAACAGGAAGTTTTGACTGGGTGGAATGTATGAGAAAAACGGAACGTACTGTACTTAGAAAACAAGTAGGAGTTCCTTATAATTATAGAGCAGGATGATACTAATTTAAATGTTATATGTTCTAGTAGGCAGTAGAAGTTATGATCATGTTTCATGTGGAGATTATTTATTATTTTTGCTTCTATGTTGCATAATGTTATTGTGTAAAACATCACATAATGTATTATTTTCACAGTTAAAGTTACTTCAGCTTCTAGCTTCAATGAAACTGTTTATAAGGTGTTGTGTTTTGAAATTAAGGATAAAAGAAAAGATATACATGTGATTTAATGTGACTAGAAGCTAGAGCGAAAAGTATTTATTTCCGCCTTTAATGAAAACATAACAAGCCTTGACATTGATACGAAAACACAATATTGTTTAGTTTTAACTGACTAAATATCTCAAGATTAATCTCATATCTTTTGATATCGTTTAAGTCATAAATATATCCACACTAGTTATTAGTTGCTCTCAAGTAAATACTGTTGCTTTTAAGTATTTTATAAGTATCTAACAATGGTCGTGAATAGTTCATAAATAACTTTTGAATATGGTAAGTGCAAGTCACATTACGTATGAGTTACCTTTAAGCATATAGTAATGTTTAAGAGTAGCTAACAATGATTGTTCATGAGCAGCTTATCAGTATCTAAATACATTATATTATCTTGTATATCCAAACTTCAATGATAATGCAGATTCAATTGAATTATGTTTTATTGTACGAATAATGTTGAAGATAATTCATAAACAAGAAACTTGTGTTAGCCATCAATACCTCAACGATAGAACTGTATAAGTGATAATGTATGTAATGAAAAAGAAAATATTATTGGTTTGTTTGTTGTAAATCACAAAGCTACACAATGGGTATCGGAACCAGAAATTTAGTGTCATAAGTCTTACCGCTGAACCACTGGTTATCTAGACAAAGTAACATAAAATTATGGTTCAAAACTGTTATCTTGTTAAAATGAAGAAATACCTGTAAATCACATGTGATAACTTAAACCTTTAAATCTATAGGAAAATATTATTGGTTCAGCTTCAATTGATTCATATAACTGTATGGTGATTCTCAGGCATGGTAAGTAGTTAATAATTATGTGATTATTAATAACGAGTTATAAAATGTTAACAATGGCATCAAATGTAGATGTGCCCGCTGGAGAGCGTCGTCTTGATTTAATCGCACGTAACGTGACAGTGTCAAGGTCATGTCAAGCAGGTAATTTCAAGGTCAAGTCTAGCAGATATACCTATACTTGAATTCTAGTGACCTCTTTGTTCCATACTGTGTATATACATATCTGTGTCAGTGTAAACTACTTGTACCTGATGATGACAAAACC